CAGGGCTCAGGAGAAGCACCCAGAGACTCTCTTACTGAGGGGTCTTCACTCCCGGGCGGGGCGGGGGCAGAGCTAGGCAAGAGGCCATTTTACTGCCACGAAATTGGTTCCAGATGGAAGCAAGGGAAGGCGTTTACTCCCTGCTGGTGCCAGACGCAGAAAGAACCTGACACACCTACTGTCCCAGGTTCCTAATTCCCCAGTGCGGGTCCGGCCAGGGCCAGGGCCAGGGCGATGGGTGGACCGGGCTGTCTGTGGCTTGGGAAAGCCGAGTTTGAATGTAATGACTTTCAAATGGACCTGGGCTTGGGGGAAGGCACTGTAGCGAGGGTCTGGGGAGGGAAAAGCAGGGAGGAAAGAGGGGTTCCCCCTATGAGGCAGCCGGAACAACCCATGTCCTGTCAGCGCCCTCTCTGGGCTTCCTTCAGGAGGAGTGGACCGACCATGGCATCCGCTGCTGGGTTCCCAGAGCCCGGATCCCCCCAGCCCCATGATTCATGCCTTCTCTCTTCCCAAGGGCACGTCTCCCCCTCGAGTTGACGTGAGGCCAGCTCGAGGGTGGAGAAGCCGGGCAGCTGCATACTCAGACGGGATGCTGACTGAGAGCTTTGTGGCCATGGCAGACGGGAGGGGCTCGCTTCACCCACTGACTAAAAGGCACCCGCGCCGGCTGGCTAGGGTGGAACTGTGCCGCTCCTGCCGCCTTTCAGTGAGACTGGCTGGGACTGCAGGCCGGGAGACGGGGTGTTCTCTGGCTTACAGCGCCCCCTAGCACTGGCCAGAGGGATAGGTCCGTGTGCTCCACCCGCCCACCTGAATACTGGGAAGGGGCTGGTGGGGCCCATCCGCTCCACTCACTCAACCAGTTCTTACTGCCCTTGTTACCAACACTCGATTCCTGTCCTCAGAGGGCTTACGGTCCAGGAACGGAAGCAGGAGGGAGATGATGAAGACTGGGGAGGAAAATCAAGAAAGGCTTCCTGGAGGTGGTGACACTGAAGCTGTGATCTGAACACAGTATAGGAGTTCAATCATTGTTGGAAAGACCGTATGGGGACAATAAAAGACGTACTTTCTCATCTCTGAGTGCTTGTGAGCCAAGAGGCAGGCAGACAGAAAAACAGGTCATGACAAGGGGCTCTCTCAGGAACAAGACCTCGGTCTCCCTGATGCCTTCGCACCACAATCTCTGTTTTCCGTCTCAGCCTCGGAGGAGAGATCAGAGTAAGAACTCAGTCGCTGTTGATTGAGTGATTGACAGCTGCGCTTCAGTCATGGGCACGTTCGATTCGCCTCACACCTGTTTAAGTGGCACAATCTGTCTGCCCTTCAGTAACTCTCACCTTGTCCTTGAGAATTTCCCATGAAATCTTAGTCCTTTGGAGCCGGGGAGTGCGGTGGGGGGCTTGGAGACCACCGAGTTACATCTTTCATCCAATAAAATGGAAATTGAGGCCTGGAGAGGTGAGGTGCCTTGTCCACACACACACAGCTCTTCTGCACCAACTTTTGGAACAGACCTCAGACCTTTCATTTTTTTTTTTTTTTTTTTTTTTTTTAATACAAGCACCTTTCATCCGCCTAGAAAGGTTTTTTACGTGTCTCTTTGCAGGGATATGTTTGGAATGTTTTCAAAGGCGTTAGATAATTATTTGGAAAGGAAAAACACGACACGCACAAGAGATAAAGGGCTGAGGAGTACAGGGCCGTGTTCACTCTGAGTTCACCGGGCCCCGCGGGGCAGAGGTGAGGATTATCATCACAGACAACTATTTGGTCAGTCGGGGTAGGGGAAATTCTTCACATCGGCCACTGTACAAACACTCTGGGAGGAACTCATCTGCAGATCTGAAAGGCAGATCTGAAAGGCAGATCCAGGCTGGCGAGTGGTTGGGTTTCCATGGCCAAGGTGCATCCCTCGGGCCATGTGTGGGCAGCTGCCACCCTGTCCTGAGGCACTGCGGAAATTCCTTCACCTGTCTGGACCTTATTTTTCCCACAGATAAGAAGAGGCTAGGACCTCTGAAAAATCACGTTCCCAGAGATTCCAGTGTTCTGTAACTTGATAGGAAGGGGGTGGGTGGTCATGGGATCACCTTTCCTAGAAAAGTTCCAGGAAGGGAAATACCAGGTCAGCCAGATACATTTGGAGACTTCTTCAGTTCTCCCAAGGTTTATCCATTTATCATTGTTCTTAGCTGTCAAGAACAAGTGGGAGAGCCAGTGTCTTCACCCTTCCCATGAACCCAGGGGCATCCATCTACCTTAGCAAGTGGACCTGGAGAAGCGATGCTTGCATATTAGGTCCCTGTGCACTGGGACCTCTGGCTGACTGGCTGGCTGGCTGCCTGGCTGCCTGTGAGGTCTGCTTGCGGGAGGGGCTACCTGGCAGAAGGGCTCCCCCACACAAAGATCCATGGAGCTTGCTCTTTTTCCTTAAGATGAGGCCTGAGCCGACCTTACACAGGCAGGTGGGCAGAGGGGAGTCCCCTCAGATTAGACATTAGGGAGAACTTCCCAACTGAAAGGGAAGATGAACTCCAAAGACACTGTGTGGACTAGTTTAGGATAGGGAGCGAGAGGAACTAACCCAAACCACCATTTCATTACCGCTCCGCTGGAAACATCAGATCACTCCTGTGCTTCCAAAATGAAGGAGCTGCATGGCCCAGAGGTCCTCAAACTTTTTAAACGGGGGGCCAGTTCACTTTCCCTCAGACCGTTGGAGGGCCGGACTATAGTTTTAAAAAAAACTATGAACAAATTCCTATGCACACTGCACATATCTTATTTTGAAGTAAAAAAACAAAACAGGAACAAATACAATATTTGTATTTGCATGTGGCCCGCGGGCGGTAGTTTGAGGACCCCATGGCCGAATGCCTCCGATGCTTTCAACGAGGAGCCTGCTGCTCAAAGTTCAGCAAAAGTTATCTGCCTCACACGCCGGTTCTAGGCAAGGCTCCCCTTGGAGAAAACACTGGCATTTAGGACAAAACCGTTAACGTGAAAAGAAAAAAGAGAAGCATCTTATCACATGAGATGCTTATCCACCGTGGATTTGGTCTGGAAAGGCTTCTAAGACCTTCCACATGACTGGCACGGCGCAGGAATCAGTGCAACTCAAATCCCACCAGCCATGCCCTCATTCAACCTCCAGACGCAATGCGCTGCTGGCCACACCCACACCCAAGGCTCCTGGGACCCTGCTCTGTGCTCTGAGGGCTAAAAAGCAGTGTGGCCAAATATCTCAGGCTTCACAGTGTTGCTGGAGTGGCGGGGGAAATAATACAACCGGATCCCTGAAATAGTGAGCAAAGTGCTGGTGCTGACAGCGAGAGGGAGAGACGGGGGTGGGCCAGGCTCTAGAGTTGAGGTGGGAAGGGTCTTGAACGTTGGGAGGGGGCTACGACAGGAAAATGCGAAAACTAGATGCCTTTCCTTATAGCTAAGAATTTAAGGGATACAAAGGCATTTTAAAAATGTTCGTGGAAATACCATTTCCAATGAAATGTCCTGCATCCCCCCCATCACTTCTCTGAAGGGTAAATGGGGGCGTTTCTGGGAAAGAGGTGCATTTCTGAGCAGCACTTTCAGTTCTTGTTTTGTTCTAAACTTTTCGTTATTTCTATAGCCAAGACATTCGAGTCTCGTTCTAAACGGAATGAGCGGGTAGAGAAAGGGAGAGAGACCCAGGAGTGAAAAGACAGCAGGTTCCAGCTGCAGACGGGCATGTGCACAGTTAGAGCTGAGGGCTGCCCCGGGTGCAAGAAACCTCTCTACCAAGGTGGATGCCAGCAGTGCCTGGCTGGTTGCCAAGTCGTGTCACCTTTCGGTGCCAGTCTCCTCATCAGGAAAGTGTCATTCAAACGTGTGCTTCCCTCCCCAGGACTGTGAGGTAGGATGAGGTGAGGTATGGAAAATACACGTCAGCATCGAGATGTTCAGTAATAATAATTGGTCGCTAGCAATTATCCATTACGGTTCGCAGCCGAGGATCCCGGATAGTCCTCCAGGACCTGGTTTCACCCCAGTTTTGGATCAGTTCACCCCCCACCCCCAATTCCTTGCCAAAGGGTGGAGACCTATCTGCCCTAGGGGCCTTTGCCCTTGCAGTTCTCCCTGACTGCGGTTCCCTCCTCCCAGATGCTCACAGGGATGAGCCTTCTTCGTGTTCACATCTCAGCTGGGGTGTCCCCTACTCGGAGACGTCCTACCCCACAGAAAGCAGCGCCCTCTGCAGCCATTTCTAGCCCAATGTTACTCTGTTGTGCTGCCTTCACAGCACTGTCCCCACAGACGATCACCCTAGGCGTGTGTGTATTCATGGATCTCCTGGCATGTTACCTGCAAGTTCCAAGGGGGCAAGAACTTCGTTTTGCTGAACCCAACATCCAGCACAGTGTTTGCTGAATGGCTTCGCAATGTACTCCGGGTGAGCGGGGACCGACCTGCTATTATAGCCAGCTCCAAAAGGCAGCAAAGCCCGGGGCGGGGTGGGGGCTGGAGAGGGTAGGTCACCTGTCTGGCTTTCCCCTCTGACTCTGCTTTTTCCAGAGAAGGTGGGAAGGTAACATTTTTTTCTTAGCCTTTCATCCAGGTGCTGGCAAGGTCTCCAGGGCCAGGGCCGCCCTGACCTGCGGAGGGTGGGTGCTGGGGTGAGCAGCAGCTGACTCTGGTTGAGTCGGGAGGCGCCCGGAGGGCGTGCGGGCATGTGGCAGAGGTGCGGGCGGGCGGGAGGGGGCACGCGGGCGCTGCTCCCGAGGCTACCCCGCCAGTGCGGGTCTGAGGCCGTCCCAGTCCCTCCACTCCGGAGCCCAAAGCCGCATTATTCCCTATAAGGATCTGAACCGGCCGGGGAGGCCCCGCCCCGTCGCCCCGCGCCCTCGGCCCCACCCCCTTTTCGGAGGGCCGATGAGGTAATGCGGCTCCGCGATTGGTCGGAGGGGCGGGACCCGAGAGGGGGCGCCGGGGGTACCCGCGCTATATTACTCGGCCGCGGAGCAGCGGTGCAGAGCAGGCAGCGAGCGGGCTCTCGGACGACTTCTCCTCCTGCTGCTCCAGCTCCTGCTCCAGCTCCCGCTCCTCGACCCGGAGCCACCGCCGGCCCGCAGAGTCGTGCGCCAGCGCCGAGGCCGCCTCGCCGCACCCGATCCGTCCCCTTTGGCCACTCGGAGGGCAGCGCGCCGAGGTCCAAGTTGCCCCGTCCGGTGGGTGCACCAGCTCCGGCTGCAGCAGCCCCGCCGCCGGCGCGCACGGCAACTTTGGAGAGGCGAGCAGTGGCCCCTGCAGCAGCGATGACTCCCTGGCTCGGGCTCGTCGTGCTCCTGGGCACCTGGAGCCTGGGGTACTGGGGCGCCGAGGCGTGCACATGCTCGCCCACCCACCCCCAGGAAGCCTTCTGCAACTCTGACATAGGTAAGCTCGCCCGTGTCCCCGCGGGAGCTCCCCGTGCGCTGCAGCCCAGCCGGGGATGCATGGAGAACTCCTCTCTCTTTTCCCTGCCCGGGCTTGGGGCGAGGGCGCTGACAGAGCCGGCGGGGAGAAGCCGCGCAGAGAAACCCCACAGTGGCTGAATGAACCCTTTGCAGCCTTCGGTCTCCTTTTAGGAGTTGAGGTCCCTATCGGTCCTTTTGACATCTGGTAAAACTTCCTTTGCACCATGGCGGGAGGAAGGGCTAGGGTCAGGGGAAAGGGATCCTAAAACTTGGGATGCCAAATAAACTGCTGGGATGTTGAGTAATTAAAAGGGGAAAAAAAGTTGCCAGCCATGTGCACAGAAAGTGGCAGGAGAAGCTTGAAGTTTCTGAGTTGGCATCCCCTCCTGCGCCTCCTAAGAAGCTCATGCTTTTCAATGAGACCCACACCGACCTTGAGTCTCTCGGCAAGTGCTAATGGAGCTCCTTGGACTGCCCGCGGCGGGGTGGGTGGACTGGAGGGGAAAATGAGAAGAAAGCGGAGGGGCTGGCCCTCCCCCAGGAGCTGTCCTGGAGAGTGTTGATGGCCAGCGGGAGGCGGCGTGTGTGAGGGATCACTTATCACCGAGCTGTGAGAAGTCACAGGGAGGCTGGTTCCCCCCCCCCCCCCCTTGAATGTGTGCGGGGAGGGGGAGAAGGAGCAGTGGAAAATAGACTTGTCACCAAAAGAACAAAGATGCCACAGGTCACACACAACAAGGTGCCGATTCCAGGCTGGGCTTGTGTCTGTATTAGAACCACTCGGTACGATGTAGCAGGGAGGGTCCTGGGAGAGCTGGCCTGGGAGCGTGCAGGACACGGGCTTGGATGGTGCGAGGTGGAGGAGCAGCTGGAAAACATCTCTCCTCTCCTTTCTAGCTCATAAAGCATGTCCAGCGGCCCCTGCTGTGCGTGTGCGTGCGTGTGCGTGTGTGTGTGTGTGTGTGTGTGTGTGTACACACCGGCCAGGCTGGGGTGGGACACAGTCTAGCCACTCGGCTGAGTGGATTCAGAGGTGAAGAATGGAGTATGTGTGTTTTAAGTACAGTCATAAAGGGGAAGGAAATTTTCCACTGGGTCCTGGGTGAGGGCCTCCACAAGTGTGCTGTAGGGGAGGCGGGGGAGGAGGCAGGAGCCGGGCAGGGGAGGCAGCTGAGGTTGGGAGGGGCGCTGCTGGTGGGCCTGGCCCCGTCTAGGGGAATCAGGGAGGTGGCTATGGGGACCAGGTCAGTGGGCGGGGGTGGGGGGGAATAGTCTGTGTAGCTTGGGGTCATGCTTGTGAGAGGATCCTGGGCCCAAGCGGCACACCCTCCCCTCTCCAGGGGGACCGGGCTGGCCCTGGGTTTGTGGTGTGCCTGGAAGGGTTCTGCTGAGCTGCCTGAGGCCTGGGAGGTTTCCTCCCTTCTCCTGGGACTGACCCCACCCAAATTCCACCTGGCCTGTCTCCACCCCCGCCGTATGTACATTCCTACCTGAGAGGGGTTGGGAGCTGCAGCTGCTGGTTTCTGGTCTTGCTGCTAGGAGTGCACACTGGGGCCTGGCATCTGACAGGTGGAGTCAGGGCGTTGCACTTGACAATGGCTCTGGCGTGTGCCCTTGGACTTTAAGGTGTCTGGGGAGAGGGGAACCTTATGCCACCTCCCTGCTCCTGCCCTGGGCTGTTGGGTTTCCACCTTGCAAGCTGACCAGGGAGCAGCGGAAACAGAGGCAAGGGAACCCCGCTTCCAAGTGGGGGCACTGCCTCGCTGTTCACCGCTGAGGTTTCCTGCCGTGGGTCTGGGCTCATGCTGAAAGTTTCTTGTAATTTCTCTGGATTTACCCAAGAAATACTCCCTCGCCCCGCAATAAGCTCCAGAGAAAAGCTAAGTTCCCAGGAAGTACCCAAAGACCAGAACATTGTGGTAGCAAAACTAAAAAAGAAACAATAAAAAAAAAAAATCTTCGGCTACGCTGGCCCCGGTCCAGAGCTGTGCTGCCTGGGTTTGGTGCACTGCACTGGTGGCAGCGATGAGATAATGCTTTTAAAAATGGGAGGTGTGGATGTGGGCCGCTCGCTGACCTCCGCTGCCTTGCAGCGCTGGCGGCCAGTAGGGGGCTCCCCGTTTTCCTAGTCACAGCCTCCCTAGTTTCCAATCTGGGCTGAAGACTGTTCTCTCCCAGAAGGAAATACATAGCAGCACCCCACTCCCCTTGACCCCTATGGACCCACCAATCAATGCTGTAACTCATTAAAGAGGTTCAAGCCAGCCCACCAGCTTCCTCTTCCAGAACCTTCCTGGCTTTTTTCCTCTTTGTGGCCAGGTGCCCTGTTGCTGGGTGAAGGGCATGGCCTGCCAGGCTCCACCCTCTCGAAGGAACCCCTCCACCTCCACCACCATGGCCTTCCCTCTCCTTTCTCCGCATCCACAGGTGCCTCTTTTGGCCTTGCTCCCCGAAAGCCCTGGGGACTGGCACAGTCTTCTGGGTGAGGAAGAGTTCAAAGGTGTTTCTATGGCAACTCCAGGCCCTGCACCCCAGTGAAGTGTTTAGGAGCAGAGTAAACTACATGCTGGCTTATACAACACTCTGTGGGGGGAAGAAAGGACTTGGCAGCAGCCATGTCTGTGGTCCCCTCCCCACCAGTCATGCCCTTGAAACTCCTCACAAAACCTTGACTCTGAGGAGGGAAGGGAGGGGGCTGGGAATGAGGAAGGCAGCTTTGGCCGGGTGGATCCTGCTCCAGCAGCTCTGCCCAGCGCAGGAAGGGGTGGGCAGTGCGTGTGCCTGCCTGCACGTGTGTGTGTGTGTGTGTGTGTGTGTGTGTGCGTGTGTGTGTGTGTAGGGGTGTGTGTTCAGGGCGGGGGAGCAGCAGAGAGAGGATTTTGCTTCACAGCTCCGAGCCCTTTTCTCCGCTCCCCCTCCCTCCGCATAGAGGAAAGGGGCTGTGAGATGGAGTGTTGGGGGCCTGCCCCCTGAGCCTATTGGGAATCGGAGAGGAAGGCTCAGCTTGGGGGCCCTGCCAGGCCTGGAGGATGGTCCCCGGATATCACAGAATTGTTCTGACAGGGACCAGTGCCAGCAGATTCTTTCTGTATCAGATCTGAGGTTGTGGTTTTAGCAAAGAAGCCATTTTCAAAGAAGCCGGATCCGTTCCCTCTCAGGATCCCACACAATGACGCTCCACACTGGGCTTTGGGACTTGGAAAAAAAAAAAAAGGATCAAACTTCAGCAACGAGCCAGCAGCCACTTGGGGAGGGGACCCAGGCTGCCCGACATCTTGAACCCTTGGAAAGAGGAGAGCTGCTCTCCGATTCCTGCTGGGCACACGCACCTCATAGCAGGCTGAAGGGTGGGCATTCTGTCCATTGAATCAGATGGAAGCACGGAGGCTGAGAGGGGTTGCGCTTGCTCAAGGTCACCCGGCTCATCAACACTGCAGCTCACTGTAGCCCACGAAGGCTAAATGCATTGTTCGCTATGCTATTCTTCAATAACGTCTCGGTAACTTTCACTTACCCTTGACATTCTGAGTCAGACCACCCCTCCTAGGACCCAGATGGGATGGACGGTGAACGAGAGTGCTTTACTTGTTGACTGGAGAAGTTTTAAAAAATAGGAAGATAACCAAATGGCCAGAGAATTTTCATTACCCATCATCTTATGGGAGGGAGAACCTATCATTATTATTTGAGGTTGAAATAGAGAAAAAGAAAGAAACATTTCTGATGTCCTTTAGCTGTCAGAACTGGAATAGACCCTCAAAATCACCAAGTCAAAGTAAATTAAAAAAGACCAGCTCCCTGAGGCGCAGGGGGAAGTAGAGCTACTACAAGAATCTCAGGCTGCAGTACCCTTTCCTTCCAGTGGGGCGAGCTGGGGCGCCCAGGACGCCTCCTCCAGTTGGTGCAGATGGCCAGGGGGGTGGGTGGGAAACCAGAGAGAGTCAGGAGACTGGGTCCCGGCTGGCTGGAGAAGCCCCGCCCTCCGTGGTGTCCCTTTCACAGTCCCTGGAGAGATAAGGCTGGAACAGAGGCACAGAGGTGGCCTGGGTGGCGGCCTTTGTTTGTTTTGCAGGAGCAGCAGGAACCCATGGGCCCCACTGCTGAACGGCACATTCCGACAGGTTCCCCACTGAAAAACAAAAACACCACCACCATTCTCCACTGCGTTCGGCCTTTCCCATTGCAGCCAGGACGGACAAGGAGGCCCCTTCTTCTAGCCTTTGTCACAGGCGGCTCCTGGGTGGCCTGGAGAGGCAGTGTGGGGTGGTGGAGAGGCCAGGGGGCGGGCAGAGCCGGGCAGATCCTCCAGGGCGTGCTGGCTGTGTGCGCCCAGGCAGGCTACTGGATGTCTTTTAACTCTGGTTTCCTCCTTTATAAAAGGGGGATAATGGTTTGTACCACCTCAGTCCGTTAATTTTTACCCACATTTTAAAGTGACAAGTATTTTGTGAATATATTCTATATCCATGTGTATATGTATATATGTATGTATATGTATATATGTAAGTATATCTTTATCTAAAATCAGCTAAAGGTAAAGTCCTTTTTGATAACTTCCTCTAATTCTAGCTCCTTCTCCAGACCCTTTCTTCCCTGTGCATTTACATACATAGGTACAGATAGAAAACTTAGAGTGGCTTTTCCCCTTAGAAACATGAATAGTAGAACAACGTTTAGCATCTGCTTTTTTTTTTCCATTGGACAACGTGTATTAGAGACTGGTCTCAGTTAACACATATGGACCTACTTCGTTCTTTTTAGATATAATGTTCCATGGGGTTATACTTTTTACAAACAGATTATGCAGCAATTACTCTGTGCTAGGCACCACTCTAAATAATTAGCATGCATCAACTCATTGAATTCTCTCAACAGTCCTGTGAGGCAGGTGAGCTGTTATCTCCATTTTACAGATGAGGAAACTGAGGCATAGAAAAATTACCTAGGTAATTTGTTCAAGGTGATAGCACAGCCCATATT